GTAATTAACGTTCCCTTTCTTTTATTTTTAGGAAACCTGGACGCGAGATGAAGCTGAACGACCAGGATTTAAAAGAACGAACTATGGTAAGTTCATTTTTTTATTTTTATTTTTATTTTTTTTTACTTTAAGAAACGTAATTAATGTTCCCTTTCCTTTTTTTAGTACAAGGACCAGATCCGAACCAGATTTGGATCAAATTCAAATCGGATTCAAATGGATCTGAACCAGATTCAGATCAAATTGAACCAGATCTGATCAGATTCAGATCAGATCAGATCTATTAAAATAAAAATCAGATCAGATCAGATTTAAGCTAAATCCGGTCTGAACCGATCTGTTAGGAGCACTAAAAGTAAGTATATTTTAATATAATATAAAGTAAAATAAAAATTTATATAGTCTTAGTAGCTATAAATGTTTATAAAAATATAATAAAAATATCATATAAAAGATGTTATCATAATAGATATTTTCAAACAATAAAAACAATTATTTTATATCAAAGTTTGTATTACCATCTTTAAATGCAAATAAATCAAGATTCACTGATCTGTTTTCTATAATTTTAGGCTCGTTGGAAAGCCCTTGTTCTGGACTTCATAGTCAAAAAAGAACTCACCGATTGAATCATTAGATCTGGAGATATTTACATTTAAAGTTGAGGTACGAACTTTTTAACATGCTTAAATGCAAATATCTTGGGATCCACTGATCCATTTTTTATAAATTTAGGCTCTTTGGAAAGCCATTAATCTGGTTTATATAAACGAAAAAAGAGCTTATCGATTGGATTACTAGATCTGAAAATATTTACGTTTTAAGTTGAGATACAAAGTTTTAACATATATAGTAAGTGCTAAGAATTATATTAATTTAAAAGAAATATTTACTAAATTATAGTATAATAACATTAAATAAAAATTTTTTAATACTCATCCCCAATTTACTGTATATTATATAGTATTTTGTATAATAAAAATGTAATAAAATCAATATTTTAATTAAAGGTAGACAAATCAGCCCATATGATTTAATTTTTTATTAACTATTAATCCTAGAGATGTGACTTTATTACCATTAGATTCGTCTTGTTGAGACGATTCCAATGAGCTATATTTCATTCTTTTCTGATCACTGGATCAAAAGATAGCAAACTGCCTGATTGGTGACAGTATTTGGCGAAAATGCCAATCAGTCACCAATCGGTTAATATAGTAGAAAAAAATAATAGAAATATATTATTAGAAGTATTAGTAAAAAGAAAGAAAGAAATGAAAAAAAAATAGTAGGAAAACATCAATAAAGAAAGAAATATTAGTAATATATATCTTTTTATATATTTCTAGATAAAGCTTCAAACGGTTTGAGCTAAACTAGGGAACTGATCTGAAACCAGCTCAAAATTTGGTTTGGTTTGATTCAGATATTAGAACCGAAAAACTGGTAGTTCAATTCGGTTAAATCTAATTTTTTATAAAAATGTGAAAAATCGAATAGCTGTCCATCTAGTGATCGTACAAAGTTGAGCTATATATCATTGGATTTGACTCGAATAGACGCATTGAATGGTGGTAAAATCATATCTCTAGCATTGATAGATCACATGTTAACCTATGCTAAATAATTTATAAATAATTGGAATTAACAAGCTATCTATTAGTGCTAGAAACATTATCTTAGTGCCATTTGGCGCATCTCAGTGAGACAAATCCAATGAATATAAATTCATCTGTGTACGACCACTGGATAGCAAATAATGTCAAGTTTCACATTTTTTAAAATTTTCAAGCGTTAAAAATTAAAAATTCTGATGCATGAATTTATTTTTCGTCCAATGGTCATATAAATATAAATTAGAACTCATTAGATTTATCTCGATAAGACAAGTTAAATGGTGCTAAGATCATGTCTTTAGCATTGATAGATAGCTTGCTAATGCCAATTTTTTATAAATTATTTAGCGTAAATTAACTTACGATCTATTAATGCTAGAGATATGATCTTACCACCATTCGACTCATCTCATCAAGACGAATCCAATGAGTCCTAATTTATATTTGTATGACCATTGGACGACAAATAAATTCATGTATTGGAATTTTTAATTTTTAATGCTCAAAAATTTTAAAAAAATGCGAAACTTGACATTTTTTGCCATTCAGTGATCATACATAGAAGAATTAATATTCATTAGATTCGTCTCACTGAGGCGCATCGAATGGTGCTAAGATCATGTTTTTAGCACTAATAGATGGCTTGCTAATTCTAATTATTGATAATTCATTTAGCATGAGTTAACGTGTAATTTATCAATGCTAAAGATATGATCTTACCACCATTTAATGTGTCTCGTCAAGACGAATCCAATAATATATGGCTTGACTTTGTACGTTCACTAGATGGACAGTTATTCGATTTTTCGCATTTTTATAAAAATCAGATTAAACTGAACTGACCCACCAGTTTTTCGGTTCAGTTTTTACGGATTTTGGCTCTAATCTAAACCATCTATAATCCGGACTAAATTGACCCGTTCAGAGCTTTATTTCTAAATATAACAGATAAAAAAAATATGTATTTCTGGATATATTAAATAGATAAAAAATTGTGTTTTTAAGTAAAAAAAAATTGATAATAAAAAAAAAGTTTTAATAAAATAAATAAAATGTAAAATGTAAATATTTAAATTATGTGATCATATAATAATAATATTACGTAACTTACCCATATTATTTTTAGAGATGCTGGGTAAAACCAAAATATTTAGTTATTTGACAAAACTAAAATAATTTAGATATTTAAAATTAAAAAACAAAATGCTAAAATTCAATATTCTATGGTATTTCTATGGATTTTTCATAAATTTCCATGGATTTTTAATTATAATAATTACTTAAAAAAATAAATTTTTATTAAAATATAATATTTTTTAAAAAGAATTTATAAAATTATTATAAATATAATTAATTTTATATATTTTCATAATAAAACTATAATTTTATATAATTAAAATTAAAATTAAAAATTATTATTATATGGTTTAGTTAATAATAAAACTGAAATTAATTGGTAATGAAACCAAAAATTTTGGCAAAAAGAGTTTAGGCAAGCATCACTAATTATTTTATAGCCTAAATACATTTATAATTAAATTTGGCAAAATTACATTATAAAACAAAAATTTTTCAATTCAAATGACCTCTTCAATTAAAAAATTTCTCAAAAAGAAATCTTTCTAAATGAATTCTTAGAAAATTTTTTATCAAAAAAATATCTGAAATGACCTCTCTAATTAAAAATTTTTTTTAAAAAAAATTTTCCAAATGAACTCTTAAAAGATTTATCAAAAAAATCTCAAAAAATCTTCTCAAATAAACTTTTAGAAATTTCTTTATTAAAAATAAAATATCCCAATCCTTAAGGTCTAGGCATTCGTTTCCTAAAAAATAAGTAATAACATTCTTTTTGGTTTAAAGAACTGTAATGAATAATTTAAAACTATTTTTTTAAAAAAAAACAAAAATATTCAGTTTAAACAAACTGAAAAAAGTTTTTTTTTTTTGTAAATCAACTGGTGACTAATACTGAACTAAAGCTTCAAACCATTCGGAGCTTTATATCGAACAGGTAAATTGGCACAGTTGATTTGCTAGTTGCATAAAATTTGCACATATCATTATATTAAACATCGTAAAATTTAAATGGAAAAATCGATACTCTCTTTTATTATCATAATCAATGTAATTATTTAATTATTATATATTATTTTAAGTGAGAACTTTATCTAACACTTCTTCCATGTTAAATTCTTGAGAATCATGATCTACTGGTAGTAATAGAGGAATATCAATTACTACATTAACTTCCATTTGAAGTAATTCTTGCAATTCTTTATCTGTAATATTAACCCATCGTGAAATCTCTAAATTAGTATTATTTACTGTTCCATTATTAGCATCATCATTTTCATCCTCATTTTGATCATTATCCTCATCATCATCATAATCACTCTCAACATCGTTATCATCGAAAAAAGACGAATTAGAAAATGTTTCCCGAACTTCATTTTAAAATTGATCTTCAGAAAGTGTATTATATGCAAATTTGAGTTCAGATTTTGCATTTGCCATTAATTCAAGTTTTTCAACATTTAATTTAATCAAATATATAGAAACTAAGTTAAAGGTGTAAATGTAAATTAAAATATTTACTTTTTGTATTAAATATTAACTTACTGTGTTCTCCTTTTATTAGCCATCCAATTATGGAAAATATACGTTCACATCCTGCATTATGTGGAGTAATAGATAAAATCTTTATGACGAGTTGTTGAATATAATGTTCTTCAGGGTGTACTGAATTGCACAAATGCCACCATAAAAAAACATTATCCATTCCTAGTACATATTTTAAATCATAAGGTTTTTCATATTGTGTAAAGGCTCGAATTTATCCAACTAACTCGCTACAAGAATTTTTACCACCGCCCATATTTTTTAGCAATTTCATTGCATCACAAAAGATTGTTGGATATAACTCTTTACCTAAAGTAAATATTTTAAGAAAAAGTCCTCTTGCCATCCAGGATGGTAACATGATTTTTGCTACCCCTACTGCACGTGATACTATAACGTCATATAACATGTGTAAATATTTTAAATATTAACGTAACGTGTCAAGAACGATACATTTGCCAATGTAACATTTAAAACAAATATGGATAACATCAATTTAAATAAGGAAAACACTTTACCAAAATCTATAGTCTCAAGAAAAAACCGTTTGAGAGTTTTTTAAAAGCTTCAGACTAGTGACAATCTAAAGGAGCAAGCACTTGAGTTAAAGGTTGGCTATAAATTTGAGAATTGAGAGCATATAGACCAAGTTCTACATACATATGCCAAAACAAAAGGTTTTTCCTGGAGATTGCAAAATACTTATCATAGAATTGATGGAAGTGTTAGTAAAAAGGTATTTGAATGCCATCATGCTGATAAGCCAAGATCATAATCCAGATATAACATAAAATACAACATCATCTCGCGTTGAGTGTACGTGTTATATAAATATTTGTTGGCCAAAAACTGACTCAAATCCAAGAGTAACTACTTTTGAACCAGGGTATAAAAACCATAATCTTAACACTTTAACAGCAATATTCGTATCATCATATCGTAGTTTGCCTGAGTCAGTGATGAATCGAATAAAGTTTTATGTCAATAATTCACCTGGAATGGGCAGCTTTATGATTCGGAATCTTTTAATTGCTGAGTTTCCACAGCAAATATTTCTAGAAAGAGATGTAATAAATGCGATTCAATACTTTAAACAGGATAATTCTCATAGTAAAGTTAATGATCCAGACAATGATGCGTTTTGGCTATTGGAAATGCTTGAAAATCAGCAAAAAGAAGATCCCAGGATGTTTATTGCTAAAAAAATCTATCAAGAAAGGTTATTTCATATTTTTTGGATGGATTCGAATCAATAGGATTTATATCAGTATTTATCATGATGTTATTGTAACAGATAACACTTCAAGAACAAATAAGTACCACATGGCTCTTTGCATCTTTGTTGGTGTTGATAATCGAAACTATACCCGTATTTTTGCACAAGCATTATTATCTGATGAAATATCAGCGTCTTATACATGGGTTTTAGAACAACTTTTAGAAGCAAACAATGGAATCACGCCAACTATTATTATTAGTGATGCTGATACAGGCCTAGATGTAGCGTTAAAAACACTTTTACCTCATATAAAACACATCCATTGTATATTTTATATTCATCAAAATCTGGATTGTCATATGCAAAGCTTTTTGGGCGAGAATTATTGCAATTTTTTATTTAAATTTTATTCAGCTCGGAATAGTTTAAACGAAACTTTGTTTGAGATTAGATGGAATTAATTAATTGAAGAATTTCCTTCTACTAATAATTACTTAATAGGAACGCTAGATAAAATCAAGGAATCATGGGCAAAGGCATTTATCTGTATGGTAAATTTTATAGCAATAATTATTAAATGATTTTGATGCTTTATATTTATTTATTAGCAGTCCTTTACTGCAGGCATGATGTCAACTCAACGTGTTGAAGGTATTAATGCCATTATCAAAAAGTACATTAACTCTCAAAGCAGTTTAGTGGATTTTTTTCAAGGTATCCAGTCCTTTCTTCACAATCAAGCTACCAAAGCTGAATATCGAGACTGGATTGAATCGCTACCTCATATAAACATTTTAACATCAGCATCACAACAGATATTTCTACATATAATCAAAGAATTGAAGAAGTATTTTACATCAGAATTGTATTTTATTCAAAAAGTACAGCTTGATGTAAGTTTGGAATACAATGCTACTTTATTTTTACCAGAAGAATATAATAGTATTGTGGTAAGCATCTATTAGTTCATGCACTTGATAGTTTTATATTGGAAAATTTTTTTTTGATCGTATGACAATATTAAATTTTTTAGGATGCTTAGATCGAAAATAATGAAAATATTGATTCAAATGTTGATGATATCCAAGTTGATACAACTCAAATATCTCTGTAATCACTTATAAATCAAGTCAATTTGGAAGATATTCTGGAAATTTGGCGTGTTACTTACCTTACACATAGATCAAACTCAACTTCACATTTCGTGATCCTTTTATATGATCAAGGACATATTTGCACCTGTTTAATGATTTTGAACCGTGGATTAGTATGCCGCTATTTTTTTCAGGTTATGATTAGCAGCCAACAAGCACAATTTAGCATTTTGTTAATTAAAAGGCGATGGTTTAAGTTAAAAACTTATGGAAACGCATTTAATGATTCAGAAAATTCCAGTAATCTGAATATTCAAAAGCACGCATTTATGGATGTAAATGGAAATCTTTCACATATAGATTCATCAACAATTCTAGATGTTCTTAGAGGCAAAGACTCAATGAATGACATTAATATGAAAATCCAAGCGCGGCATTTGTATAGCAATTTGTTTGGGATGGGTCATAAAATTGCACAAATTGCCACTGAAAAGCGATGATTTGATGTTTTAGATGTGTTGAATCAGGTTCTAGATGAATTGTATGATACGGACGAAAGTATTGATAAATCAGATTCAAGGAAAATTCTTAATCCACATATGGTTAAATCCAAAGGAAGGTCACGAAATAAAAGGTTTAAAAGTTCTGTTAAAACATGTAAAAATTCTAGTAAAGGTACTGGTTCAAATGCTTTTATTCAAGATAATAATGGACATGAAGGTGGCAGTTTACAAGGTAAAGAATCAAAGACATGCAGTAATTGTTATGCACCTAATCATAACATTAGACGATGCACAGCATCATGCAAATTATGTAAAAAGGAAGGTCATACTTATTTAAGATGCAAAGGGAAAAATGTAGAACATAGTAATTCTGATTAGATGAAATTAAAGAATTTGCATGTAGATAGTATTGTGTTTAATTTCTAATGACTGTGATTTTATTACAAATTTCTTAACTGTTAATGCAAGTTAATTTAAATATGTTTATTGTAAAGATCTATCATATAAAATTGTATTAAATTTGCAATTAAGACATTAAAGAATTTAAAGTGATAAATAATGTGAAATGATGAAAAAATACATTTTTGAAGTCTTTTTTTTTATAATGCTTTATGTATACTATAAGAAAATTTTGTCTAATTAAAATTTGAAAAAAAGGAGGGCGGCAAAAAACAAAATACCACCCTGGGTGGCACGCAGATAACTCTATATTTTAAATTTAAATCAATACTTATCATAAATAATTCAAAAGAATTTTTATATTTTACCTTGATAGTATGGATGAAGCATATAACTTAGGACATAAAGATCAAAATCAAATTGTTTCCACCTCTTGTTAAATAATTCAATACAAGTAGATTTAAAATTTTGATCCGATATTGGTGGAAGAAAATTAATTCTTTGTGATAATTTGATTAATTCAATAAAACAATTAGCAAGTGTAGTAGATTTGAATTCAAGAGCTTTTACTGCTGATTTGACTGGACCTAATAAAGTATTAACGGTATTAATATCATTAAAAAATGATCTGGTTCGTAATAAACCTTTAATTTTGTTATTCAATATTTCTGGACATTCATTAAGCAACTAATAAGATAAATAAAATAAAATAAAATTTAAATTATAAATTTTATTTTAGTTATTAATAAATTAATAAACTTACATTTTTTAACTGATTCTTAAGACGTAAAATAGAACTTGTACAATCCCAGGCTGTTGACCATCTAGTCTTGACATAGAATTTGAGATTTCCACCTTTAACTGAATAATTGGTTATATTCAATTTAAGCTTTTTACTGGCCTGATGTGACATTTTAAAGAATTTCACTAATTCCATACATTTTGAAATAACCTCTTTGGCAAATGGAGTTTTACAAATATCGGTTGTAATTAGATTAATTGCAGATCTGCCTAAAATCGGCACTGCGTTACTAATAAAATTCAGGGTTAAATTTGCCGATTTTGTGCTAGAACACAAACTTCAAAAAAGGATATCTCATAGATGACATATTGACTATAAAAAAAATCATATGATATACTGAAAAAATACTTGAAAAAAACGAATTTGCAAAAAAAAGTTATACATTCGTATGCAAAATAATGAGTTTACTATGCGCGCGTGTCAGATTTACACCTTATAATATACGAAATTTCAATATTTCATTTTACTATATTGCATTATTTACATTAAAAACCTATAATTTTTAGCTTCTAAAGTTGTTTTTAAAAGCTTTTTTGAAATATTTTTATTATTAAAAACAAGTGAAAGTTGAAGAAAACCAGTTACAGAAATATAATTATAAAATTTTTTGGCAAATATGACTTGTCATAAAATGAAAGAAAATATTGTATTTATGATATTTCTGTTTGTAAAATGGTTGAAACTTATTTCACGCG